TGCATCATAAGGTGAGCAGGATGCAATGCTAATTCATCTCAACAAATGACAACGAACACAACACAAGGGACCCAACTAGGGCTCTAGTTCTCAGTGGAATGACTCGTTGAAACATCAGCTGTCATTGATCAAACTTTTTTTTTTTAACTACTTCACACCCACCTTGAAATTTTTATTTATTTCTTCAGAAAATGTTTTGAAGTCAATGTTCTAGCTTTTAGTTCAAAAGAATTGAAAAATTCCACTCATTAGGTTCACATTTTTATTTGTCTTAACCCTATGTTCTCATCAATCAAGCTTCGACGTAACTATTTTATACTCACCTTGAAATCTTTCGATATCTCTTTAGAAAATGCCTTGAAGTCAAAGTCTTCGTTTGGATTAGTTGGCTTTCCATCTGTGAGTACAATCATGACATTTGGTTTGTCTGGTCTGTCTCCTCCTGCCTCAGTAAACATCTCGTCCCTCGCCATAAGGAGAGCCATATCGGTGCGAGTTTGATAGTGTAGGACCATTGGTTCTTCGGCTATTTTTTTTTGTAAGGCATCTTTATCGTGACGAAGTAAATGATAAATAATGAAATCTAAATCATGAAATCTATCTAAAGCAACATAAAGCGAGGTTAAAGATCGCTATAGAGTGAATTACAGCCAGGATTAGAACAACACTCGGTGATACTAAATTAAAAGAAAAGTAAATGTACAGACAATTTCTCCGACAGTTGCTCTTACAAATACTCACGGCATTCCTGTGTGTTGCATGATTCTGTTTTCTCAGAAGGTCCCAGTTCACTGCATTCCTTTCCACCATTAGACGGCGGAGGATTGGTACAGGTTCTTGCAAATGTTTTTACTCCTCCTCCGCATGTCACAGTGCATTCTGACTCCTGCCATTCGGTGTATTTGCCATCAATTGCTAAACCATAAAAAAGAAATACTTTTCACCCTTATGCACAACCTGCCATGAACTTGGCTTTAGAATCAATTACAACAAAAATAATCTTATCGTATATTATGGGAAAGCTTTTTCTTGCTGTTACAGAAAAAAGGTCTCTTTTCCCTCAATTAAGAGCTCACAAGTCCACAAGTTATGCAAATTATGAAATAATCGACAACCACTCAATGTAGTTGCCATCAATTGCTAAATCGTGAAAAAAGACTCCTTAAAAGTTTTGAAAATGAATTTTCAGTTAATAAGCATTGCCTAGAACCAGGGCAGCAAATCTTATTTCAGCACTTTTATTCGCCTTCTCAAGGGATTAAGAA